ATTGCACTACACAAACCCCTCACTTGCTTGAGATCAGGCCTGGATACTCTATTGCAGGTCTTTGCCTGCCTTTAATGCAAACCTCTCGTGGTCTTCGTGTTCACTTTTGGTTCCAGTGCCTCATCATCTCCGAGGCTCATCTACAGGTCTGCTTGAGCAGGTCCTCGTCTTCCTTGTCATGGATGGTCCTACCTGGTGAGTCATGAGCTGGGGATTCCTTGCCTTTCTCCACATCCACAGTATCTTGTCATTGTCTTGGGGTTGTGTCCATCCCACATTGGTGGTGACTTTTAAGTGCAAGCTTTAGAAAACATACTCTGGTATTAATGGCTCGTGTCAGGGTGCGCTCGAGATGTGACCAAAGCTTTGGCGAGGTGGGGTGTAATCGTTGAGGTGACCCCATGGTACTTCTGTGCTGTGGCTTGTGGCTCTGTGAGGAGGAGTTGCCCCCACTCTCTGGCAGCCCTGTCAGGCTGGTCTGCATTTTGCAGCTGTGCCAGGTAGAGGTGTTGTACCTTCAATCACATTCCCTTCCTCCATGCTTTTCTCCCAGCTGGCAATGGCTGACATTGAACCATCTTTTTCCTGTTGGTTGTGCTTTGTGTGTGTCTTGGTGCCCCTCTTCCTTTTACAGTTTTGATATCCAGGGTCTTTTGTGTCATTTTTTGGGCTAAGGACTGAGGTCAGTCTCTCCTCTGGGCAATGTCTGGTTGTCAGAAAGAGGATTGGGCAGTTGCCCTGGGTTGTTGGAGGAGGGCATTGCATAATCCTTGAGAATACCCCAGGCACGTCCAGACTATGTCAGTGCCCAGAGTGGTGCCCTGATGGCCTGAGAAGGCTCTGAAGGGCTGGGTCCAGGGGCTTGTGGTCAGTGTCCCAAAGTCCAGATGGCAGCAAGTCCACAGTTCTGTAGCCCAGGAGTTGGATCCTTTTGGCCAACACTGAAAACCTGAGTAGTCCTTGACATCTACTGGAGCTCAGCAAGGGCATCTTTTGAGGGCTCTTTGTTGGTAGGAGTCATCCCAGGTAGGAAGTAAAGTCTCTGAGTAGCTTGGAACAATGGTTTTCTTCTGTGAAAAAGCCTTTGTGGTTGTGGTTGAGAAGAAATGGACCAGGAGGTGTCCCTGGGTGGGAAAAGGAACCCCAAGGTTCAAGGGAAGTAGTGGGAAAAGAGACCCCAAGGTTCAAGGGAAGAAGTGGGAAAAGTGTTGTGATGAGACAAGGGGAGGTGACTCCTGCTGTCTCCTGAAAGCTGGTCACATCCCATGTGAGGTGCTATGACCAGTCCTGGCTTCCTGAGCATGAAAAAGAAATCCATTTAATAAATCCAGAACATTCCAGGACCAAAAATGTTCTAAAGCAGCTGGGGGACCTTTTCTAGAGAAGAGGATGGCAGAGCTGAGAAGGATGGATAGGGGTGTGCCACCAGTGTTTGCAAATCCCAGATGGTCAGGGATGAAGATAAGGGAGCCCTGCTGTTCGCAGCATTGCACATGTGCAGGGCAAGAGAGCAAGGGCACAAGTGAAGAGAGATTTAACTCCATAGGCAAAGAAACCAAAAATCGTTCATCATGAGGGTGGCCACAGAGGGGAAGAGGTTTTAGAGTGGAAGAGGTCGTGGAGTCTCAATCCTTGGAGATCCAAATCTGACCTGTCTATAGTGCTGAAAATGTTCTGTTGGTCTTGCTTGACCAGGGCAGTTGAAGCACCTGCGCTCCACAGCTCCTGCACATGAGGTTGATGTTGTTTCTCTTTTGGCTGGGAGGCTTCAGGAGTCCTGGCCAGGAATAGAGTTTGTTAAGTGTGCACTGGTGTGGAGTGACTTTTCCATTTTTGTTCCAAGGAGTGAATTGATATGTCAAACACTTGGGTGGAGCAAGTTTGCAGGGCCTGTGACATGTTCCGGAAGGTGTCCCTTCCTGTGTTCCCTATGACATAATTTGTTATTAGTTGTTTTGACATATATGTAAGGAAAAGTGTTGTTGCCCTGTTCCACATGCTCCCAGTGGCTTGTTCAGCCCTAGAATGTGATGGGTGCAGAGGTGAGAGCATTTAACAAAAAAAAAAAAAACAAAAAAAAAAAAACCCCCCCCAAAAAACAACAAAAAAAGAGGCTTCCCAGGTTTAAAGCAGGAAAACTTTATTGATATGAAAGAATGAAGAGGCAGGAGAAAGAAGTGGAAATAATATGTTATGAGGTGACAGCATGGTGACCATCAGCTGATTTGATTTGCTTTGCTTTCAGGAGCTTTTGCCAGAGGCCAGAGCTAGTGGTGACGGGAGTGGGGCTGGGGGTCCTCAGCAGATGTAGCCACCCCTTCTGCCATAGCAGCCCAGGCCTGCCAGCCCAGAGCCAAATCCATGGCCATAGCCAAGGCCAAATCCACCAAATCCACCAGAGATGGGCTGTCCCTGCACACTGAGCTCAGCGCCCACGGCAGCGGAGGAGGTGGATCCGACAGCGGTGCTCTGGGGGAAGGAGGTCATGATGGGTCCTGGCAGGGTGACCAGCACAGGGGCAGGGTCGATGATGACGCGGGAATCCTGGCATTGCAGGGCACAGGGCTGGTTGCAGCTGTTGGCCAGCGGGGTGGGTCCGCAGGGTCGGCAGATGTTGTTGCAGGCCATGGGTGTGGTGTGGAGGGTGCCTGGAAGAGAGAAGGGTGAGGAAAGGTGTGGGGTGTTGAGGAGCCATGATGCAGGAGGGCAAGTGAATGTGGAGGCTGTAGTGGGGCTGTGGGAAGGTGTGAGGGCTGCTGAGGCTGGGCTGAGCATGCTGAAGGAGAGGGTCAGGGGGGCATGGGGGCAGGGGCAAGAGCATCAGGGTCTTGAGGCTCACCTGGTAGTCTGCAGCAGGAGAAGGCGTGGGGAGAAGTGTGTGATGAAGAGAGGCTCTGGACTGGCTTTTATGCTGGATCTGGATGGGCGGGACAGTCTTGTCCTATGGCCTTAGGGTGTTTTGAGGTAGCAGCTCTTGCCTTGCTCAGCCTGGTGAGTCATGACCTGGGCAGTGTTTTTCTTCATGTAATTCTGCAGTTTCATGTCCTGCTCTTCAGTCTGTGTCCATCTGACCTTGGCGGCAGCTTTAGGGTGAGAGTTGGTATTTGGGTAGTTTTGATTGTTCCCTGCATGCCAGGGAGGGCTGAATGAACAACCAGAGCCCTGGAGATTTGCAATGTCATCAGTGATGTAATTTTGTGGTACTCATCTGCTGTGTTTTTTGGCTGCCTTGTGATGACTGGGACTCTGTTTTGTGCCACTGGATTTCCATCAGTCATTGTGTTGCACCCAAGAATGCTGAGGAAGCTGCTGATGTCCTGGGGAGGTCATTCTGCAATAACTTGGCAGGATTCCAGTGTCTTTGAGCACTTCCTAATGAATGAAAGAGAGCTCCTGGCCTTGTGTCTAGAAGGGTGAGGAAAGGTGTGGGGTGTTGAGGAGCCATGATGCAGGAGGGCAAGTGAATGTGGAGGCTGTAGTGGGGCTGTGGGAAGGTGTGAGGGCTGCTGAGGCTGGGGCTGAGCATGCTGGAGGAGAGGGGCAGGGGGGCATGGAGGCAGGGGCAAGAGCATCAGGGTCTTGAGGCTCACCTGGTAGTCTGCAGCAGGAGAAGGCGTGGGGAGAAGTGTGTGATGAAGAGAGGCTCTGGACTGGCTTTTATGCTGGATCTGGATGGGCGGGACAGTCTTGTCCTATGGCCTTGGGGTGTTTTGAGGTAGCAGCTCTTGCCTTGCTCAGCCTGGTGAGTCATGAGCTGGGCAGTGTTTTTCTTCATGTAATTCTGCAGTTTCATGTCCTGCTCTTCAGTCTGTGTCCATCTGACCTTGGCGGCAGCTTTAGGGTGAGAGTTGGTATTTGGGTAGTTTTGATTGTTCCCTGCATGCCAGGGAGGGCTGAATGAACAACCAGAGCCCTGGAGATTTGCAATGTCATCAGTGATGTCATTTTGTGGTACTCATCTGCTGTGTTTTGTGGCTGCCTTGTGATGACTGGGACTCTGTTTTGTGCCACTGGATTTCCATCAGTCATTGTGTTGCACCCAAGAATGCTGAGGAAGCTGCTGATGTCCTGGGGAGGTCATTCTGCAATAACTTGGCAGGATTCCAGTGCCTTTGTGCACTTCCTAATGAATGAAAGAGAGCTCCTGGCCTTGTGTCTTGAATGGGATCAAGGGAGAGGATCCGGCAAAGCAGAGGCTGTTCAGGCTGAACTTGTTCCATTTGTCAGGTCCATTTGGATTTCTGCAATCTACCCAACAGCATACGCTGTCATTTAAAGTATATTTCTTGACCTCATTCATGAATCTTATAAACAAACTACAAGCCCATGTTTGCCCAGGCTGGTCTGTGATGTCAATGCTTTTATTCCGCATTCAAGGCACAAGGTTTCATAATTTAAAACCTCCAAGTCTTAATATTTTTTTCCTGTTAACAAAAGCTAATTGTCACTAATGGATGATGAGTGACCTCCTCCTCCTTCCTCCTATGTCAGGGTGCTGGCAGTCCTATGTGGAATTCTGCCATTCCAAGCCATTTTCCAGAGGTCTTGTCCATCTGACTTTGACAACAATATTTAAATGCAGGTATTAGAGGTTAAATGCTGGTGTTGATAGCCTTGTCGGGCAATGTGAAGGTGTGACCCAAGCCACCTCATCAGCGAGGTTGCCCCAGGGCACTCATGTTCTGTTTTTTGTGGGTAGATTGTGAAGATGGGTCCCAGACCATCACGGCTCTGTCAGGCTGGTCTGGGCTTTGCAGGAACGCTGCTTGTGAGGGTGTGCTCCTTTCATCCCATTGTTTCCATCCCCACCCTCTTGCCATTTCTCCAGGTGTTTTTCTATCCCAGACCTTTCCCATTGCAGATGGGAAACCAATCCTGTTGTTTAGGGACGATCCCATGCTGCCCTAAGTCTTCTGTTGGTCCATCCGTAGCGCTTGTCTCTTCAAGGTCACACTGTGGGGTCACAGTGCTGGGCTCTACCTGACACATGGAAAGTAAAAATGGTGAAGGATAAGGAGAACAAGACATGTGAGGAGAACAATTCCTCAACATTGATCAATCCACTCTTTGGGCAAGTACATTTGCTGCAAAAAAACTCCAGCAGTTCCAAAGACAGGATTAGGAAAAGAAATAAAAGCACATTGAGGGCAGTGCCCATCCTTTCAGCCACCACTGGCTGGACTCCACAGTGGAACACACACATGGATGTGGTTGATCAAGAGCAACTCGGGGAGATCAAGACAATGATGGAAATGGGGCACCCTTAAAGTGAGATTAAACAAGGGACATGGAATTTCAGGGAGGAGACAAAATGAAAACAGAGGTGTTGTCAATATGCCATGGCATGACCTAGTGTTAAATCCCCAGTTCTCCAAAGCTTCTGCTGAATCCTCTGCGTGTCCTGACACTTGCTATTAACAAGAAGATATTGGTCATTAATTTTCTCAACGAAGGTTATGCCAAGGACAGATGGACACAGCCACAAGGGAAAGAACACGGAATTGCAGAGTTGCAGGAAAGAAAACATTCCCCTACTTGTGACTCATCAGGCTGGGCCAGCCAAGAGCTGCTACCTCCAAAATGCCCCAAGGCCATGGGACAATGCTGTCACGCCCCACCACGAACAGAATAAAAGCTGGCCTAGAGTCTCTCTACCTCACACACTTCTCCTGACTCCTTCTGCTCCTGAAGACAACCAGGTGAGTCTCACACCCCTGACCCTCCTGCTCCTGCATCCCTAGCCCCTCTCCTCCAGCACGCTCAGCCACAGCCTCAGCAGACCTCATGCCTCCCCACAGCCCCACAACAGCCTCCACACTCCCTCGCCCTCATTCATCAGGGCCCCTATCCCCCCCCACACCCCTGCCCTGCCTCCCCCCCCTCTCTTCCAGGCACCCTCCACACCACACCCATGGCCTGCAACAACATCTGCCATCCCTGCGGACCCACCCCGCTGGCCAACAGCTGCAACGAGCCCTGTGCCCTGCAATGCCAGGATTCCCGTGTTGTTATCCAGCCTTCTCCTGTGCTGGTCACCCTGCCAGGACCCATCATGACCTCCTTCCCCCAGAGCACCGCTGTCGGATCCACCTCCTCGGCTGCTGTGGGCGCTGAGCTCAGTGTGCAGGGACAGGCCATCTCTGGTGGATTTGGTGACTTTGGCCTTGGCTATGGCCGTGGATTTGGCTATGGTCTGGGAGGCCTGGGCTGCTATTTCAGAAGGGGCGGCTACATCTGCTGAGGGCCCTCAGCACCACTCCTGCCACCAACCACCCACTCCCTGGATCTCATCTCAGGCATTGAGGATGCATCTCTTGCCTAAGGGGCTGTACTCTCAAATGGACTCAGCACTTCCAGCTCCTGCTCTCGGGGCACCAAGCAAGGCAACAGCCAGGGGGCCATCTCAGGCTGCCTGCAAACATGGCCCATCTGCCTCCTACTCGTCTCATCTTCCTGCTCCCTGCTCTCTACTCTCTACTTTGGCTCTGTCCAATCCCCTCTGCTGCAAACCCCTTCTTCCAGGTCAGAAATCATCGGGCAGCTCTGCCTGGCTGCTCCAAATGTGGGGCAGGAAATCCTTGATGCTCTGGCCAAATATACTGCAAGCAGAGAACCTTGGCTTTTGGTCATCCTGATTGCACCTCAGCCCAATTCCCTTCCACTGGCTGCTCCTGCTTTTTCACTATTTCGTCTCAATAAAATTTTTCTTGCATCACAATTTCAGCTGTTTTCTAAATGGATTCATAATAAACTGGATGTGAAACCTGTTTCCCTTGTGCTGCACCACAGGAGAGCAGGAATCTGGAGTCCAAGTGTCTTTAGGAGAAGTTTAGATTGGATATTAAGGAATCTTCCTTCATGGAGAGGGTTGTCAGTGATGTCACAGACTGCACAGTGTAACTGTGGAGTCATCATCTCTGCAGGCATTTAATATCCCTGGAGAGGTGTCACTTGGGGACATGGGTTAGTGGTGGCCTTGGCAGCTGAGGGAATGGTTATACTTTGTATTTAAAATTTAGCTCTTCTGCAACAAAAATATTTTTAAGATGTGATCATTCAGTGCCCGATTTTGTAGCCCTGCTTTAACCGTTGTACTCAATGTCAAGAGGCTTTTCCATCAGAACTGACTCCATGTGTGTTGGTGGCACCTGTACAACAGAGCAGAGGCAGAAGGGGAGCAGAAGAAGGGGAGGGGTGAGCCAAGCCTTTGGGGTCTTGAGTTGTGGCAAGTGCTGAGGAGTAAGGACAGTTGTGTTGTAGGATTTCCCTTGAGGAAATGGTGCTTGGCCGAGCTCTGTGTCTGCCCTGTGGTAATGACTCAGCCTGGGCATGAGGAGAGAGCAGTGGCTGCTGTTGGACACAACCCTTTTGTGAAGCCTTTGAGGCTCCTTCCGCTTCCATGATCCCAGAGAAATTGAGCAAATCCAGGCTGCCTGAGAGGGCAGTGAGTGTCCTGAGAGTGGCTGTGGGGCTGGGCTCAGAAGCTGGGCATCAGTGGCCCAAAATTCAAATTGAGGCAAGTCTCAAGGGAAGTAGGTCAAGAGTGGTATCCAAGGGGCCAACCCTGTTCAACATCGTTAAAAATAGCATGGGCAATAGGATTGTTGTCCCCTCAGCAAGCTGGCACCTGATGGAATGGCTGAGGCACCATTTGGCTGTGCCATCACTCAGAGGGAGTTGGAGATGAGGGTTAAAGGCATCTCCTGAAGTTCAAGCAAGGGAAATGTGAAGTTCTGCATCTGGGCAGGAATGGCAGTGGGCCCCAGGTCATGCTGGGGTCTGAGAGGCTGGGTAGGAGCTTTTCAGAGCAGGACCCTGTGGTGCTGCTGGAGAACAAAGGGACTGGAAAATCTCAATGCTTTCCTCCCTGGAAAAGGCATCACACCACAGGGTCGGCAGAGGTTGTTGCAGGCCATGGGTGTGGTGTGGGGGGTGCCTGGAACAGAGGAGGTGAGGCAGGGAAGGGGTATGGGCGTGTGAGGGGTGGTGATGCAGGAGGATGCGGGAATGTGGAGGCTGTTGTGGGTTATGGGGTGGTGTGAGGTCTGCTGAGGCTACAGCTGAGTGTGCTGGAAGAGAGGGGCCAGGGGTGCAGGAGGGTCTGGGAGGGGATTGAGACTTACCTGGTTGTCAGCAGGAGCAGAAGGAGTCAGGAGAAGTGTGTGAGGGAGAGAGGCTCTGGACTGGCTTTTATGCTGGTTCTGGAGAGGTGGGACAGCCTTGTCCTATGGCCTTGGGGCATTTTTCAAGCAGCAGGTCTTGCCTGGCTCAGACTGGTAACTCATGAGTGGTGGAGTGTTTTCCTTCATGCAATTCCATGTCTTCCTCTTGAGGCTGTGCACATCTGACCTTGGCAGCAGCTTTAATAATTTGGTACTTGGGTCGATTTTGTTGTTCCATATGTGTCAGGGATGGCTGAATAAACAAACAAGGTCTTGTGATTTCCAATGTCATCAGTGATGTCATTTTGTGACACTCATGTGCTGTGTTTTGCCGGTGCCTTGTGAAGACTGGGACTCTGTTCTGTGCCGCTGGATGTCCATCAGTCATTGTGTTGCACACAGGAGTGCTGAGGGTGCTAATGATGTCCTGAGGAGGTCATTCTGCTGTAGCTTGGCAAGATCTCAATGCCTGGGAGCGGTTCCTGATGGATGAAAAGGAGTTCCTGGCCTTGTGTCTTGAATGGGATCAAGAGAGAGCACATTTAAAATTAGAGGAAGTTCAGGCCAAACCTAATCCAGTATTACGGTCCATTTGGATTTCTGAAATTTATATGCCAATGTACTCTGCCATTTAAGCTGTATTCCTTTATGTTGTTATGAAATCCAGTAAAGAAACAACAAACTGGCCTTGATCCACTTTTTCCCAGGTTGTCTCTGACATCAATTAGCTTATTCCTCATTGAAGCCACAAGTTTCATAACACGTAAGCTGTAATTGTTAACATTGTGTTCCTGTAAGCAAATAATTACTAATGGAGCCTCAGTGAGCTCCTCTGTCCTTCCTTGACCTGGTAGGTCTGTGCCTTTGTGGAATTGTGTAATTCCATATGCTGCTCCTGAGGCCCTGTCCACCCATGTTGGCAGCTTTTAATTGTGACTGCCAAGAGGTCAAAATTTTCTGTTGATGATTTGTGTCAGGGAGAGCTGAAGATGTGACCCAAGCTTTGGAGAGGTGTGGTGTCATCACTGTGGTCACCTCATGGTCCTCGTGTACCAGAGTTTGTGGGTGCCTTCTGAAAAATTCCCCCAATTTCTCACAGTTATGATTGGCTGCTCTGAGACTGGCAGCTGTTCCAAGGAGCAGGTGTTGCAACTTCCATTGTCTTCCATCCCTCCATGCATTTATCCCCCATTGGCAAAGGCTGACCTCAGACCTCACTTTCAATTGGAACATGCTTAGTGGGTGCTTGGATGATAGTCTAACCTCAAAGGTTTTGATAATTTCAGTCATCCCTTGGGCTGAGTGCCAAAGGCTGAGGCCACTTGTGATTGTTGGAAGGAGGATTTGGATGTGGCCCAGAGTTGTTGGAGACAAGCATTGCATGAGCCTCAACAACCCAGGCGAGTCCAGCTGGTGTCCGTGCCCAGCGTAGTGGACAGAGAAAGGTCTGAAGGGCTGGGGCCTGTGACTTGTGGTCAGTGTCCCAAAGTCCAGATTGCAGCTTGTCCTCCATGCTGATCCCTGCCCCCACACTGAAAACTTGCTGCCTTCTGGACATGTGCTGGGTTTCTAGCAAGTTCAGCTGCTAAGTGTTTTTTCACCTGAAGATTCATGCCAGGTAGGGAGAAATATCTGAGTGTCACTCAGAACAATTATTTTCATGTCTGAAAACACCTTTGAAGTGAAGAATTTCTCATTTTGTGGGTGGTCACAGAGTAGAAAATATGTTGGACTGTTGGTCCTGGGAGAGCCAGTACTGAAGTGCCCATAGTGCTGGGAATCCTGCGCATGTTGGTCTTGCTGGAACAGGGAAGTTGAAGCACTCGCACTCCAGATTTCCTGCCCAAGTGAAGAATTTGGGGACTCTTATTGCTGGAGGGGTTCAAGAATCCTGGTGGGGAAGAGAGTTTGCCAAGTGTGTTCTGAGAGGGATTGACCAGAGCAGCGCTGTACCCAGGAGAGCATGGATGTGTCCAAGACTTTGGTCTATCAGGTGATGGTTTTGTGTCATATTCTGGAAGGTGTCCCCTCCTGTGCTTCCTATGCCAGATGTTTTTATTAGTTGTTGTGACATATTTGTGAATGACGGTGTTGTTGCACATACTCGAAAGGCTTGTTGAGGCTTGGAATGTGCATGGTAAGGCTGTGAGACCTCTGGAATTACAGAAGAACAGGAGGCGTATGAGGCTTTGATGCAGGACAACTTTATTGAGGCACAGGAATGAAGAGACAGAAGAAAGGAGAAGTCAGGATCTGGTGAGAGGTAGAAGTAGGAAAACCACCAGCTATGGTGCTTTGCTTGTGGGACTGGTTGCCAGAGGCCAGAGCCGGTGGTGTCAGGGGTGGTGCTGAGATCCCTTAGAAGTTGTAGCCATAGCTCCTTCTGCCATAGCAGCCCAGGCCGTAGCCATAGCCCTGCCTGTAGCCAAAACCACAGCCATAGCCAAATCCATGGCCATAGCCAAGGCCAAATCCCCCAAATCCACAGGCACAGGAATGAAGAGACAGAAGAAATGAGAATTCGGGATCTGGTGAGAGGTAGAAGTAGGAAAACCACCAGCTATGGTGCTTTGCTTGCGGGACTGGTTGCCAGAGGCCAGAGCTGGTGGTGTCAGGGGTGGTGCTGAGATCCCTTAGAAGTTGTAGCCATAGCTCCTTCTGCCATAGCAGCCCAGGCCGTAGCCATAGCCCTGCCTGTAGCCAAAACCACAGCCATAGCCAAATCCATGGCCATAGCCAAGGCCAAATCCCCCAAATCCACCAGAGATGGGCTGTCCCTGCACACTGAGCTCAGTGCCCACGGCAGCAGAGGAGGTGGATCCGACGGCGGTGCTCTGAGGGAAGGAGGTCATGATGGGTCCTGGCAGGGTGACCAGCACAGGGGCAGGGTCGATGATGACGCGGGAATCCTGGCATTGCAGGGCACAGGGCTCATTGCAGCTGTTGGCCAGCGGGGTGGGTCCGCAGGGACGGCAGCGGTCGTAGCAAGCCATGGGTGAGGTGTGGAGGGTGCCTGGAAGAGAGGAGGTGAGGCAGGGAAGGGGTTATGGGGATGTGAGGGGTGGTGATGCAGAAGGTTTAGGGAGTGTGGAAGCTTTTGTGGGCCTATGGGGCAGAGTGAGGACTGCTGAGGCTGTGGCTGAGTGTGCTGGAAGAGAGGGACCGGGGTGAAGGAGCAGGAGGGTCCGGGAGGGGATTGAGACTTACCTGGTTGTCAGCAGGAGGAGGAGTCAGGAGAAGCGTGTGAGGGAGAGAGGCTCTGGGCTGGCTTTTATGCTGGCTCGGGATGGGTGGGACTGCCTTATCCCATGGCCTTGGGGCATTTTGCAGGCAGCATCTCTTTGCTGTCCCTGCCTGGTGATTCATGAGGTGGGGAGTGTTTTCCTTCATGCCATTCTGCTATTCCATGTCCTACTCTTGAGGCTCTGTCCATCTGACCTTGGCTGCAGCTTTAATCATTTGGTATTTGGGTTGATTCAATTGTTCCATATGTGTCAGGGATGGCTGAATAAACAATCAGTAGACTTGTGATTTGCAATGTCATCAGTGATGTCGTTTTGTGGCATTCATGTGCTGTGTTTTGCTGGTGCCTTGTGAAGACTGGGACTCTGTTCTGTGCCGCTGGATGTCCATCAGTCGTTCTGTTGCATCCAGGAATGCTGAGGGTGCTAATGATGTCCTGAGGCGGTCATTCTCCTATAGCTTGGCAGGATCTCAAAGCCTGGGATCTCTTCCTGACCCATGAAAGAGAGCTCCCGTTCCTTGAATTGAATCAAGAGAGAGCATATTTAAAATTAGAGGAAGTTAGCCTGAAAATATTCCAGAATTATGGTCCATTTGGATTTCTCAAATTTCTATGACAATGTACTCTGCCATTTAAACTGTAGGCGGTGCTCTGAGGGAAGGAGGTCATGATGGGTCCTGGCAGGGTGACCAGCACAGGGGCAGGGTCGATGATGACGCGGGAATCCTGGCATTGCAGGGCACAGGGCTCATTGCAGCTGTTGGCCAGCGGGGTGGGTCCGCAGGGACGGCAGCGGTCGTAGCAAGCCATGGGTGAGGTGTGGAGGGTGCCTGGAAGAGAGGAGGTGAGGCAGGGAAGGGGTTATGGGGATGTGAGGGGTGGTGATGCAGAAGGTTTAGGGAGTGTGGAAGCTTTTGTGGGCCTATGGGGCAGCGTGAGGACTGCTGAGTCTGTGGCTGAGTGTGCTGGAAGAGAGGGACCGGGGTGAAGGAGCAGGAGGGTCCGGGAGGGGATTGAGACTTACCTGGTTGTCAGCAGGAGCAAGTCCAGCTGGTGTCCATGCCCAACGTAGTGGACTGCAAAAGGTCTGAAGGGCTGGGACCTGTGTCTTGTGGTCATTGTCCCAAAGTCCAGATGGCAGCAAGTCCCCAGTGCTGTAGCCCAGGAGTGGCATCCACTGGGCCAACACTGAAAACTTGATGAATTCTGGACATCTGCTGGACTTCTAGCAAGGGCAGCTGCCAAGTGTTTTTGCGTGTGAGGACTCATGCCAGATAGGAAGAAATATCTGGGTGCCACTTGGAATTATTGTTTTAATCTCTGAAAACACTTTTCAGAGTGTTTCTGGGTTAGAAGGAATGTGGCATGACCTGTCCCTGTATCATGTTGGGAAAGGGCACCCCCAGTCTCCAGATCAGGACTGGGGAGAATGGTTGTGATGAGGCAGGAAGATGATGTGATGAGGAGACTCTTGGTGTCTTCTGAGCACTGATGATGTCCCATGTGAGGTGTTGTGTGCAATTCTAGTCTCCCCAATGTGAACATGAAGTCATCTTAGTGAATTAATTAACAGCGACCATTTCAGAAACTCCAAGATTCTGGAGGTGCTGGGGAATCATTCCTGGATGAGAAGTGGAGAGAGCTGGGACTCCCAAGTGACGAGGGTGGACAGGGGGTTGTCATCAGAGTGCACAAATCCCGGATGGCAGGGAATGAAGGTGAACGAGCCTGGCTGTTCTCAGCCGTGCACATGTGCAGGACAAGAGGTCAAAGGCCAAGGGAAAACAGATGGAATTCAATTACTAAAGAAGTGAAGAATTTCTCATTGTGAGGGTGGTCACAGAGGTGTGGTGTCATCACTGTGGTCACCTCATGGCCCTCGTGTGTCGTGCTTTGTGGGTGCCTTCTGAAAAATTACTCCCAATTTCTCACAGTTAAGATTGGCTTCTCTGAGGTTGGCAGCTGTGCCAAGGAGGAGGTGTTGCATCTTCCATTGCCTCCCATCCCGCCACAAATTTCTCCCAGTTGGCTAAGGCTGACCTCAGACCTCACTTTCAATTTGAACATGTTCAGTGGCTACTTGGATGATAGTCTAGCCTCAGAACCAGGAGAACATGGATGTGTCCAAGACTTTGGTCTATTAGGTGATGGGTTTGTGTCATATTCTGGAAGGTGTCCCCTCCTGTGCTTCCTATGGCAGATGTTTTTATTAGTTGTTGTGACATATTTGTGAGGGAGTGTGTTGGGGCATATAGCCCAAAAGCCTGTTGAGGCTTGGAATGTGCATGGTAAGGCTGTGAGACCACTGGAATTACAGAAGGGCAGGAGGCGTATGAGGCTGTGATGCAGGACAACTTTATTGAGGCACAGGAATGAAGAGGCAGAAGAAAGGAGAAGTTGGGATCTGGTGAGAGGTACAAGTAGGAAAATGACCAGCCATGGTGCTTTGCTTGCAGGAGCTGATGCCAGAGGCCAGAGCTGGTGGTGTCAGGGGTGGTGCTGAGATCCCTCAGCAGTTGTAGCCATAGCTCCTTCTGCCATAGCAGCCCAGGCCATAGCCATAGCCCTGCCTGTAGCCAAAACCACAGCCATAGCCAAATCCACGGCCATAGCCAAGGCCAAAGCCACCAAATCCACCAGAGATGGGCTGTCCCTGCACACTGAGCTCAGTGCCCACAGCAGCAGAGGAGGTGGATCCGACGGCGGTGCTCTGGGGGAAGGAGGTCATGATGGGTCCTGGCAGGGTGACCAGCACAGGGGCAGGGTCGATGATGACGCGGGAATCCTGGCATTGCAGGGCACAGGGCTCATTGCAGCTGTTGGCCAGCGGAGTGGTTCTGCAGGGTCGGCAGTGGTCGAGCTGTGCCAAGGAGGAGGTGTTGCATCTTCCATTGCCTCCCATCCCGCCACAAATTTCTCCCAGTTGGCAAAGGTTGACCTCAGACCTCACTTTCAATTTGAACATGTTCAGCTGCTACTTGGATGATAGTCTAGCCTCAGAGATTTTGAAATTTTAACTTATCCCTTGAGCTGAGTGCCAAAGGCTGAGGCCACTTGTGATTGTCTGAATGAGGATTTGGAGGTTGCCCAGGGTTGTTGGACACAAGCATTGCATGAGCCTCAAGAACCTAGGCAAGTCTCGCTGGTGTCCATGCCCAACGAAGTGGACTGCAAAAGGTCTGAAGGGCTGGGGCCTATGGCTTGTGGTCAGTGTCCCAAAGTCCAGATGGCAGCAAGTTCCCAGTGCTGTAGCCCAGGAGTGGCATCCACTGGGCCAACACTGAAAACTTGATGAATTCTGGACATCTGCTGGACTTCTAGCAAGTACAGCTGACAAGTGTTTTTTCATGTGAGGATTCATGCCAGATAGGAAGAAATACCTGGGTGTCACTTGGAATTATTGTTTTCCTTTCTGAAAATGCCTTTCAGAGTCATTCTGGGTTAGAAGGAATGGGACAGGAGATGTCCCTGTATCATTGTGGGTAAGGGCACCCCAATTCTCAGGATTTGCATTGCGGAGAATAGTTGTGATGAGGCAGGGAGATGATGTGATGAGAAGACTCTTGGTGTCTTCTGAGCACTGGTGAGGTCCCATGTGAGGTTTTGCGTGCAATTCCAGTCTCCCGAGTGTGAAATTGAAGCAATTTTAGTGAATAGTGACCATTTGAGAACCACCAAGATTCCAGAGTGTCTGGGGAATCATTCCTGGATGAGAAACTGAGAATGCTGGGACTCCCAGGGGATGAGGGTGGACAGGGTGGTGTCATCAGGGTGTGCAAATCCCTGATGGCAGAGAATGAAGCCTGGCTGTTCTCAGCAGGGCACACATGCAGAACAAGAGGTCAAGGGCAAAGGGAAAACAGATGGAATTCAATTACTAAAGAAGTCAAGAATGTGTCATTTTTAGGGGGGAGACAGTGTTGAAAAGGTGTTGGACTGTTGGCCCTGGGAGAGCCAGTACTGAACATTCCATAGTGCTGGGAATCCTGCTCATGTTGGTCTTGCTGGAACAGGGAAGTTGAGGCAGTTGCACTCCAGATTTCCTGGCCAAGTGGAGAATTTTGGGACTCTTATTGCTGGAGGGGTTCAAGAGTCCTGGTGGGGAAGAGAGTTTGCCAAGTGTGTTCTGACGGGGAGTGACTTGACCAGAGCTGTACCCAGGAGAGCATGGATGTGTCCATGACTTTGGTCTATCAGGTGATGGTTTTGTGTCATATTCTGGAAGGTGTCCCCTCCTGTGCTTCCTATGCCAGATGTTTTTATTAGTTGTTTTGACATATTTGTGAAGGAAGGTTGCCGGGGTCAGCTGTCAGTTGTCTCTGCCCCAGCACGGGAAAAAGTGGTTCTGGGCAGGCCGCGCTCTCGAAGAAGGAGTCTGGACTCTTGCTTTTGGTCTTCAGTTGCGTTTATTGTTCCTTATCTACAAAGTTTTTCTGTCTGTCCAGCCGAGGTCTGATCAGCAAGACAGCCAAGGGCACTCTCTCCCGCCCACGGGGCGGTTGTCTCTTTTATAGTGAAAACTACGTATAAGATATTTACCTTCAATTTCCAATACTTTTCGCCCTTGTTGTTGGCAAGTGCACCTTCACTATGAACCAATCCACACATGCCAACATCATTCTGAACATGGATGTGAAGGAGGAGAAAGAAGAAGGACAGGACACGCCCAAATCCCTCCATCTCAGAACCCTTGACCCCCATGTACAGAATTTCAAACCCCCGTGTACAACATGCAAAAACCCCCCTGTACAGTGCTCCAAAGTTTTTTCCTTCACCCTCTGCCACTTAAACTTTTGTGGCCTGTAATTCTTCATATAAGGTTGGCAATTTGCTCCATGAATTAAGATCGAATTTCCAGGTGTCTTTGGCTTCCTGCCAGGGTCTCCGAGCCCCTGCCAGGGCTTTGAGACATCCAGGGCATCCAGAGAGATGTCCTGGATCTTATCTACAGAGTTTTTCTGTCTGTCCAGCCGAGGTCTGATCAGCAAGACAGCCAAGGGCACTCTCTCCCGCCCACGGGGCGGTTGTCTCTTTTATAGTGAAAACTACGTATAAGATATTTACCTTCAATTTCCAATACTTTTCGCCCTTGTTGTTGGCAAGTGCACCTTCACTATGAACCAATCCACACATGCCAACATCATTCTGAACATGGATGTGAAGGAGGAGAAAGAAGAAGGACAGGACACGCCCAAATCCCTCCATCTCAGAACCCTTGACCCCCATGTACAGAATTTCAAACCCCCGTGTACAACATGCAAAAACCCCCCTGTACAGTGCTCCAAAGTTTTTTCCTTCACCCTCTGCCACTTAAACTTTTGTGGCCTGTAATTCTTCATATAAGGTTGGCAATTTGCTCCATGAGTTAAGATCGAATTTCCAGGTGTCTTTGGCTTCCTGCCAGGGTCTCCGAGCCCCTGCCAAGGCTTTGAGACATCCAGGGCATCCAGAGAGAAGCTCTGGGTTCCGACAGAAGGTGTTGTTGCACGTAGCCCAAAAGCCTGTTGAGGCGTGCAATGTGCATGGTAAGGCTGTGAGACCACTGGAATTACAGAAGAGCAGGAGGCGTATGAGGCTTTGTTGCAGGACAACTTTATTGAGGCACAGGAATGATGAGACAGAAGAAAGGAGAAGTTGGGATCTGGTGAGAGGTACAAGAAAGAAAATGACCAGCAAAGGTGCTTTGCTTGCAGGAGCTGTTGTCAGAGGCCCAGGCTGGTGGTGTCAGGAGTGGTGCTGAGATCCCTTAGCAGTTGTAGCCATAGCTCCTTCTGCCATAGCAGCCCAGGCCATAGCCATAGCCTTGCCCGTAGCCGAAACCACAGCCATAGCCAAATCCACGGCCATAGCCAAGGCCGTAGCCAAGGCCGTAGCCAAGGCCAAAGCCACCAAATCCACCAGAGATGGGCTGTCCCTGGGCACTGAGCTCAGTGCCCACGGCAGCGGGGGAGGTGGATCCGACGGCGGTGCTCTGGGGGAAGGAGGTCATGATGGGTCCTGGCAGGGTGACCAGCACAGGGGCAGGGTCGATGATGACGCGGGAATCCTGGCATTGCAGGGCACAGGGCTCATTGCAGCTGTTGGCCAGCGGGGTGGGTCTGCAGGGTCGGCAGAGGCTGTTGCTGGCCATGGGTGTGGTGAGGGGGGTGCCTGGAACAGAGGAGGTGAGGCAGGGAAGAGGTGTGGAGTGTGAGGGGTGGTGATGCAGGAGGGTGAGGGAGTGTGGAGGCTGTTGTGGGCTATGGGGTGGTGTGAGGGCTGCTGAGGCTACAGCTGAGTGTGCTGGAAGAGAGGGGCAGGAGGGTCTGGGAGGGGATTGAGACTTACCTGGTTGTCAGCAGGAGCAGAAGGAGTCAGGAGAAGTGTGTGAGGGAGAGAGGCTCTGGACTGGCTTTTATGCTGGTTCTGGAGGGGGGGACAGCCTTGTTCTATGGCCTTGGGGCATTTTTCAGGCAGCAGGTCTTGCCTGGCTCAGCCTGGTAAGTCATGAGTGGTGGAGTGTTTTCCTTCATGCAATTCCATGTCCTCATTTTGAGGCTGTGCCCATCTGACCTTGGCAGCAGCTTTAATAATTTCGTATTTGGGTCGATTTTGTTGTTCCATATGTGTCAGGGATGGCTGAATAAACAAATAAGGTCTTGTGACTTCCAATGTCATCAGTGATGTCATTTTGTGACACTCATGTGCTGTGTTTTGCCGGTGCCTTGTGAAGACTGGGACTCTGTTCTGTGCCGCTGGATGTCCATCAGTCATTGTGTTGCACCCAGGAATGCTGAGGGTGCTAATGATGTCCTGAGGAGGTCATTCTGCTGTAGCTTGGCAAGATCTCAATGCCTGGGAGCGGTTCCTGATGGATGAAAGAGAGTTCCTGGCCATGTGTCTGGAATGGGATCAAGAGAGAGGACATTTAAAATTAGAGGAAGTTCAGGCCAAACCTAATCCAGTATTACGGTCCATTTGGATTTCTGAAATTTATATGCCAATGTACTCTGCCATTTAAACTGTATTCCTTGATGTTGTTAAGAAATCCAGTAAAGAAACAACAAACTGGCCTTGATCCTCTTTTTCCCAGGTTGTCTCAGACATCAATTAGCTTATTCCTCATTGAAGCCACAAGTTTCATAAC